TCCAACTACTGGTGTAACTCCAGGGGGTAGCAAACAGCTGGGTTATTCCCAAATAACAGCAGCAGACTAGTGCTACCCGCGCGCCGTGTGCCGTGTGACCATATTGCGATATCCACCCTCCCCATCCATGTACTCGTACATACATGAAAATGGCTACTGTTGTAGACTACGCCACATTTGTCATGGTACTAGTCTACATACACACTCGATGATTGATGATGCGTAATTTGCACAGCAGTCCACCGTGGTCAAGTCCACCGTGGTCTCACTTACTGTTTGCCCGTGCGCCGTCATATGTACATGTATGTGTTCAATATCTTATCCCTTCCACCGCCGAGCCTTACTCGCTAAGTCTACATCTTGTCCCTTGCAGCATCCCCGTATGTGCGTTGCTTGGTGAGAGAAATTTAGCCGAACACGAACAAGATGACAACTATAGGTCCTACAGCAGCTGTACATGCATGTCATGTGTACAAACGGCAACTAACCTGCCTGGTGGTTGAAGCGGGTGACACAAAGCATGTAATAACCGCTTGCGTTCTCGTACATCGTACGTTTCTTCGTCCATTTTTATATCTAGACTATCTGAGTCAGTTGAGCGGCGGGAAAGTACAACTGCATGCATGCTTACATGTTTGGATGGAGAACGACACCCCATATGCATGCACATGTACTAAAACTACAACATGCCCCAAATATTCAAAGTTTGATGAGCGCGGGCGATCGACGAAGATTGGAAAACGAAACACTCAACTCAGCAACAAATCAATTCAATTCAACTCGGTTTGGAGTCTATTGACGGGTATTTCCCTACTCCATCCTGCTCTTCCTGTACCTTGTACCAGCCAGTGTACCAGCCAGTGTTCGTTTCTATTTCTCGCACGTCTATCATCCGTGGGGAGTTGTCTTATCCTCTCTGTGATATATTATAGATGGTGTGTGGCGACGACGGAAGGTATCCGCATCACTAATGGGCACGTAATGGAGACCGTCCGAATTATGTGATGTACATCAGGTCGTATGTTCCAGGTCGTATGCATCACATGGTATCCACAGAAACCCTCGCGAAAGGGCCCTTAAAAAAACTCAAAAACAGGGTTGGTTGTCGTGTCGGCCACCACCAGCAGTACGGCCACCCAAGGAAAACGCCATTACTTTCTGGGGCTGTCCATTCCTCCCATGTTTTTTTTTCGCCAACGTTAGGTACACCCATTCACCGGTGTGGAAAATGGCGGATTGGGCCCGGCACTCATACTCATCGCGCGGCACACTTTCGGGTGCCATCTCAATCCGAAAAAATGCCGACATGTTTTTCGATGCCCCCCGTGTCCCCCACTCTCGGGTGGGGACGCGCCCGTTTCCAACGTGTTCCGGTCGACGTTACCCAGAAGAACAGTAGTCTTCGTGCCCACCGACCATCTGGACGGGTCGGGCACGCAAAAATCGCGCACCCTGCTCTCGTGCGGGCGCCTGTTGCGTGAGTCAGTCGTGCGTGCCAAATTCCGATTGGTACTCCGATTGGTACCGTACGCGACTTTGGTTAGGGGCAGGATAACAAGACAGGAAACGCCATGTTTCGATTATTTCGCCCAAGTTTCTCGGTAGCGAAGCTTGACTATCTGTTTGTGCCCCTCAGGTTGGTGATCAACCATCCAAACACGCACCCAAGTCCTCCGGGCACCCAAGTCCTCCGGGAGCACACCAACCACGCCTTGGTCGGCAATAATTTTTCCAAGCCGACTTCACCTCACGCGGCCCTGGTGCACGCCGTCGCTCAATGGGCACAAGAGTCGGTTTCGACATGAGTTCGTGTTTTTTTTTTCCGTGGGAATCTTTGCCCTCGCACTCTGCATACGCACACCATGGCCCAGATAACGAAAAACAAACGCGGCGACCAGCGCCCTTGGGCAAAACCACTGCTCGATTGTAGTTGTCATTGAGTTGTCACGACCGACGGCCACCAGCAGTACGGCCACCCAAGGAAAACGCCATTGCTCTTTAGGCTGTCCACATCTCCCATGTTTTTTTTTCCCCAACGTTGGGTACACCCATTCACCGGTGTGTAAAAAGACGGATTGGGCCCGGCACTCATACTCATCACGCGGCACGCGTTCGGGTGCCATCTCAATCCGAAAGAATGCCGAGAAGTTTTTCGATGCCCCCCGTGTCCCCCACTCGCGGGTGGGGACGCGCCCGTTTCCAACGTGTTCCGGTCGACGTTACCCAGAAAAACAGTTGTCTTCGTGCCCACCGACTATTTGGACGAGTCGAGCAAGCAGAGATCTTGGCTTATTGTGGATGTCCAACCTGAGTTGGGTACCCTTACGGCGCATTTCCGACAATCACAACAACGCCGGTGTTTGTTGACTACGTCATTTTTTTTCACGTGATGAGTGCAAATGTTTTGTTTCACACCTTTTCGAGTGCAAATGTCCGCTGTATCACCAACGACAACCCTGAAGAATATATCATGTGAACATACGCACACCAGAAGCGTTGTGGCCTAGGCCCTGGTTTAGGCCCGCTTCACGGTACAATCCAGCATGCACGCGAAACAGGAGCCACGGGCAGAGGAGGACAAGAATGCTCAAAAATTTCAGCTCCTAAGAAGCACTCGCTACACCATGCATCGCTGCGTCGGGGACCGACACGCACACCACGGGTCCAACAAGGCGAAACAACACCAGATCATCTCAAACTGAATCTACAATTGTACACAACGGGCGTGTGCCCTGAAAGACGTCATTGGATCACCACCACGTGCATCACCCACCCTAAACACGGGTTGAAATCCGCAAACACACGTACCCGACTGTGGAGTACACGCTAAGCGGAAAGTGGTGGCACTAGCAAGGGTTTGGCGGTCGGTGGTCAACCCGTCAACAAACATAATACATTCCAATACCTCGCATATGCACCTTGCACGTCCACCAAAGCACCACGTCCCACGCGACAAATTACAAAACGCCTGCCCGGCCGAACTATCAATCGGATACCTTTCAGACTTTCGCCCACCTCCAACTCTTCAGGCACAATCCCAACGTGAACAATACTCTACCATGTTTTCCCCCATTCTGCAATACTCAAGCGGTCGACCCCAGCACCGTAGCAAGCATGACAATGTCCACCCTCCCCAGGCAGTCGAATACGCGCATGACGGACTTCCCGCAAAAGCACCTGCCGCACCTCCACAGGGCGGCTTCACAGCCATCAAAGCTATCTTTTGGGAGTTCCGTGACACTTGCTAAAAGCGTCCTCAGGGTTTTTCTGTTGAACCCCTGGTTTTGGCGCTCGTTGATCACCCTTAGCGCGAAAGTGAAGTTGGAAAATGTCATGGTATTGAGCGATCGAAGGCACAACGCCTTCTTCGAATGGTCCTGTTCGTGCGGGTTCAGGTTGATCCCGGCAAGCTCATCACACGTCGTGAAACCACTGTACTGCCGCTGGCACTCCTTGCTGTGGTTCTTCTCGTGAGGTCCGTCTGGGCCCACAAACATCCCCGACTGCCACATCTTATATTTGGCGTGCTCGGACGACTTGTCGTCGAAGGTGGTGTCATGCCAGACGCAATCGTACCCGGCCACCTTGAAGTTCTTCGCGCTCTCATGAGGGGGGACGTCCACCGCCAGTGCAATCTGAAGGGCCATGATAGAGTGCACACCGTCTCCACACCCGATGCCGCAGCGAATGGCACTCTCTGGAAGTTGCACGACCACGGCAAGAGCGTCAAGCGTTAGCGAATGGATGGATACAGAGGTGCTCATGATTCATGCTGTGAAAGTTATCAACTGTAAACCGAATCACGCAACCCAACACGACATGCCCCATGTCATGTAAGCCTGTAGATGCCCGACATCGATCGCCCTTGAACGAAACGGGCAATACGAGCCCTCCAGAAAACCATCATGAGACACACCTGCGATCTTGCGCTCTTTCTCGCCAATCGGCTGTACTCCGTCGACAATGAACTTTGTCTTTGCCTGCAGCAATCCGCACGCGAGGAAAAGGAGTGGCTGTTGGACAACGCCTTAATTCTGACTACGCGTTTCAAACCGACAGCACACCGCACAGAGAAAAGCGAAGGCGCGCACGTCGACAGGCGAAACTCTATATTAGAGGGACTGGTGGATTGTTTGGAGGAGTAGATGGGACCTTCGATTGTGGAACCACTCAGCAGAGTTTGTGCACCTCTCGACCACGACCTTTGACGTTGACTGCAGCAACAATTAGAAGCGGCAAAGGTTGGCTGTTCGAACACACCTCAAATATCACCACGCGTACATATGGAAAGAAGAAAGGAGGCGGCTAGAAAACAGTTTGCCAACGGCCCGACGCGCAGGGAATCCCAGGCAAGCGATTCTGAAGGGTGGACTCTAGAGGGCTAGCGAGAGGCGAATTGTGTGGAGGGATGGATACAGCCTTCGTTTTTGAGACCGCTAAACAGTGCTCGTCCACCCGTGCGCAAAGTCAATCATTGCATCACAAAGGGCAAACCGAAAACCCAACGCCGAATTCCTTACCCCAAGTGCTCTCAGAAAGGTTGAGATACCGATGCAATGATCAAGAGAATGCAATAGGTTGGTGTACTCAACCTCCGGCTGCTAAATCATCTGATCATTAATGCGCTTACCGCCGCGTATGCATGCAACCCGTCCACCTGGGTAGCATAGAGGGTTGAAGTGTCACCGTCCACGAAATCCCCCGCACCAAACCAATCCGGCAAGCATGCACCGTTTCCATTCCTGGCCCCGCGCGCAACCACCAGCACTTTCCGCAAGTGCTTTTCGGCGTCACCAGTGCTGACTGCGTCCACGCTCTCAGCGGTGGTGCCGATAGGCACTACTCCGTGGGAAGGCCTTCGTAGGGTCCACCCGGAAGCCCCTAGCTCTAGCATGCCTGGTTCATCTTCGGCAATGTTTCGGAGCCAGACGTACGTGAAGATGAGGACCTCGAACAAGGAGATCACCCGAATCCCTGCCTCCCGGAGAGCTGCCACAGCTCTCGTGGCCGCTAAGTTAACGGCCTTCGATACTGGCCCCTGTGTTTCGGCGGACGCGTGTAGAAGGTCGTAGACGTTTACTTGGCTCTGCACACGATCGCCCTAGGGAGCAGCCTTGAGGGCATACACGTCGACTTTGCTGTCTCTCTTTGGTGGTACAGGGAGAGATACTTGCGGTGCTTCGACGGTGGTACTTGCGCTGTTGCTGCCGAGGTGTGCCAACGCCGGCAAGAAGACGCATGGTGTGGGTGCGGGTTCGCCATCCTCGGTGTCATTTGAGGCAGCGTTGCTGTACCCGCTGCCCCCCCCCCCCACCCCGTCGTCGCCAAGCCGAGTGGGTCTCCCGCGGTTTTGAAGGACCCCCGGGAGGTGCTTTTCCATGTGCGCCACCGCTTTGCATCCGGCATCGTACACCCCAAGAACCGGCGTTTGCTGTCATGTTGGCAAAGGGCAAGGGCAACACGGAAAACGGCACAGGCGGAAGTTAAACCAAACCGACAAACACATCCCCTACGGGTCAGGGACAGAGCGCGGTTTAGCACGCTTGGACGTTTGTCCGATCCAAGCGTAGGCGGGTGCACGCTACCTAACAACGTACCTCAAACACCAAGCAGAGTCGAGCAAACGGTGACAGGTAGTTACTTTGGTGATAAGTGTGTCGTGCTCTCCGTTGTTCCTTTACTCCCTTGCAAGAAGTCCCACTGTGTGAACCTTCTTTGTATTTTCTATTTCGCGTTTCGTCATCGTCGTCATCGTGACGTTGTCGTTACTCGGGAAATATTTCAAGTCAGGTTAACGTCAATCAAGCCATCCACCTACCTTTTCGCCCCACGTAGTAGGTCCCCATGTTTTTGTTATGGATACTTTCGAGGGGGGAGGGGTGTACTCATAGTCGTGCATGCCGTAGTCGTTGGACCATTGACCTCGCATCCCTACAAAGCCGGGACGGAGCACGCCGGGTTCTCACCGAAGCACGCTCTCACATCACCAAGCGCGAAACGTCGTGAGGTATTCGGCGAGTCACATGAAGGGTGCGCTGCAACTTGCTAAGGGTGTTCGGCATCTTGTGCTTACTTCCTTGCGTACGGATGACAGCTGCGTATGACTTAATTTAGTTTCTGGTGGTTTCACTTCCAGAGACAGCTGTAAGCACGGTGTAACTGCCTCGAGGGTGTTTCACCATTTTAACACAGCGTGGTGCGATCATGCCCTTACTTTCGAGGGGTGGTTATTATTCCTCAATACATCATGCGCGCCTCGCTGGGGACCTAGGTCTGCGTCCGGGTACCCAAATGCGCGAGCTAAGATCTAATTTTGCGAACACCCGAGTCATGGCCACAAAACGGACACGTAGCACGTTTCGACCACCTAGTCCGCTCAAAGTGTGTGTGAAACGAAGACACTAGTAGCACACGATGGGCCCTTCATATGCGGGTTGCTTCAAGTGGGCTCTATACACCACGAAAGCAAATTGTAAACAATACCTCAAGTATTGTTATCGGCCCTTCGCCGGGGGCGCGGCGGGGCAACCTCGGTTTGCGGGACTACTGTTTTCAGGTACCATACGTAGTGATGATAAATTCGTTCCTTTGTTGGGTTGCACATTTTTCCTACTTGGGCATTTCTCTCGTGCTTTATGCACTT